CTGTGATTGTCATGGCTGCCGGGGAACATTATGTAAACCTAGTATAAGAAGCTGAAATAGCAGGACAACTGCAACAAGGCATTTTTTAATGATTACTATCTGTAAATATGATCTATCCATTTTGTGCACCATTGATACTTTATAATGCACATTATATATATTTAATGGATTTATAACAATAATATTATACAAATTGAAAAATTATGCATACAAAATAATATAATTGTTATAATTGTTTACATTATTTGTTAAAATTTTTTATATTACATTAACATCTAAATGACTTTTGAAAGTGTTATGGCAGAAAAAAGGAAGAATGAATCTTTTGAGAATGGAGACTAGATAAACAGGATTTTTCACTGATACCTGTATATTTTTAGAATGCTTCATATGTTGTTATAACCACTATTCAAATACCACATGACTTTGTCATATGTATCAGTTTGAGAATGGTATGTTGTAAGATATGTTGTAACTCTAGCTATGATATTCAGGGTCGATACTTTGTGTCTTTCTTTGTTTATTTACACAATGTGTTCTTTCAAACTTGAGTGAAACTGTAAATATTGGTTATTCTTAACCAAATGAAACATTGGACATGAACTTTTCATATATTTCTTTATCTGTGTTCTATTTATGATCATTATGACTTCACCAACTGGCAGCTGTATGTAATATGTTGGTTTAATTCACAAAACCATCATACAATTAGGTGATTAAATGTACATTTTTTTTGTTTTGAAATGCAAATCATTTATGTGCAGGGCTTTCCTTTATTTGCAAAAGTTAGGGACAATATATTCTGTGAACTAATTGCAGAGAAAACACCTCTTGAATTTGCCGAGAAATAGAAAGGCTAAATTATGAGCAATGTCAAAGTGAAAGAGAGAAAGAAAGAGAGAGAGAGCAAAAAAAAGAGAAAAAAGAGAGAGAGAGAGAGAGAGAGAGAGAGAGAAAGAAGGAAAAAAAAGAGGAAGACAGAGGGGTCATGAAGAATTCTGGTACAATAGAAGATAAGAACTTGAAGAACAAAACAGAGAGAGAGGGAGAGAGAGAAAAGAGGATGAGGGAAAGAGAGATGAGAGATAAATATAAAAGGAAATGAAAGAAAGACAGGTAAAAGAAGAGTATATCAGGAGAGAGTGATAGAAAGAAATAGAGAGAGATATATATTTATAGAGAGAGGAGATATACAGATGAAAACTATTAAAGGCCAAGTCCAATCCAAAAACAATCTGCTTTTACAAAAAAGCAAGAGAAACAGAAAGAAAACAAACAGAGTAAAATTGGATAACTACTACTACCAATAATAATATTGGATATTAATATAGCGTACATATCCACCCTGCAAGATGCTCAAAGCGCTCCAATATTAGAATTTTTGTATTATTTTTTTTTAGGTTTTCAGTTAGTGACGTTATGGCCTCACTCTTGATCAATTGCTTTACATATTTTAATCCCATTAATTTCCATTTTTATCCCCAAAACTTGATTTCCCCAGGCTTTTGCCCAGGTTATATGATTTATGAATATCAAAGAATTGATACTATTTTCTGAATATTGTATATTCATAATTATTGATTTTTATATAAATAGTTTATCAAAATTCAAATCTGTCATGATTTAAATGAAAAAATGCTCTATAAATAGTGCATCCACACAAAAACATATTACTATAAATATAACTTGGATGCTGTTGTGAAGAAATAAGATTCTTAGGGGGAACATGGGAAATTTATATTATCAATATAAAGAAAACGATTGGTGGATAGTGAGGCAATGGTGTTACAGACTCATGGGTATGTTGCCATTTTGTCTTGTGATTTCCAAAGTTTTTTGTGTCATTGAAGATTCACTAGTCATCTGATTTTGCTCAAACTTGTTTTGATTGGTTTGTCTGAATTTTCAGCTTCTATTGAAAGTAAGTTTTTTTTTGGAATGGACTTGCCCTTTAATGAAACAAAGAGTGAGATATAAAAGATGGAGAGAAATATAAGAAAGGGAGCAGGAAGAACATACAAGGTACAATTGGAGCCTGGAAAAAAGAAAGAAAGAAAACAAAGATGATGAATAGAAAATGTACTGAGTGAGGGAGAGAAAAAAGAGAGAGAAGGGGAGAGAGAGAGAGAGAGAGAGAGAGAGAGAAAGGGGGACAGGAAAGGAAGAGAGCACAAGAGATAGATAGATAGTTGAAGAAGATACAGTCAGATAAAGAAGGAAAAGCAAGGGAGGAAGTCAGGGAAATTTGAAGGAAAGAAACGAAAACAGGGGGGGGGGGGGGAGAGACACAGAAATAGGAAAGTAGACAGCAGCATGTAAAGAGGATGAGTCAAATCTAAAGTTAGTTGGTAACATACAAAAAAACAGATATGGAGGAAAAACAGACAGAGAGAAACGACTACAGACAGAGGGAAATAAGAATAGACACAGATGTAGGAAAGTAAAAAAAAAAGTATCAAAAACAGAAATATGGAGTGGGATGTGATTCCTCCGATAGTGGGAGGGTCCTTTTCATGCTGAGAGAGGCGGAGCCTAAGCTATGACATCACTGGCCAATCACAGCATCTTGCCCGATAATATTATAGCTTAATAGCAAGCCTGCACACTGCCTAAAATAATAGATGGTATACTCATTATCAACATGACTGAATATCTGTTAAAACAATTTTCCAACCCATGAAATGATTACAAAATCTTGGAAATATAGTTTTCGTTGTATTCTTAAAAATAGTATTTTGAGTGGGCATCATTCCCTGATGGTAGAAGCAGGGAGGTAGCTGATCGATAAGTCAATGCTTTGCCTTGGTAGACGTTTGACTAGCCTGGTCTGGTGTGAATAGGACAGGAAAGCCAAGGGATCCTGTGGTTACAAGTGCTGGAAACATAGGAAAAGCATGGCATCCTGATCATGTTTACATGTAAACATTCAGCACAAATATTACCTCCTCTGCACCCCCCCTCTCTCTCTCTCTCTCTCTCTCTCTCTTGTTATCTCTATTTGTGTGTCTGTCTATCTCACAGAACTATTCTAGCCAGTGCTGTAGTAACCATAGCAAGATGGTGCATCAATTGAGAAAAAGTGCAAGTTTGTAGTTAAACTCTATGCAATATACACACAAAATATATATGTCAAAAGTACCATGATGGTGGTTATCTAAGATATTTATTATTTCATGTGATAAATTACCAATTTCTTTGATTTTATAAGAACATAATGGCAACTTGTGCAACTTTATAAATGTCTTCTTGAATAAATTATTCCATTGGTTAAGTTTTTTTTTAAAGGTTTAGAAGTGTAAGCTAATGTAATTGTCAACTTGTCAATGGCCTAGGTTGCAGATTAAACTTGACATTACCTCTTATTTTCACAATGAAAATACAGCTTAAGTCATGTGACTTTTTGATAATCGTCTCCTCAAAACAAACCAAAAGATCCTACAAATTCTCTCATGATTTTGTATTTGTCACTGTGGTATCTCTGGTTTAGCACCGTTGGTGAAATTATGGAAACCATTGATTACTTTCTGTTGTAGTTTCTATGGAACTTTCAGCATAAACAGATGAGTAAGAAGAGCATTGATCAGCTGATTCATAGATGAGAGTAATCTTGTCTACCTGTACTGTAGGGGTGCTTTGAATGTAATAAGCCTAGAGCTTTCATGCTTTGAATGAACATTAATGTGGTATGGATTAGATATGATAATTATTTTAAGTTGTAATATAATCAATTGTAATTGTAAATGGATGACAATAATTATAAACCACTAAACAGCTTGTCCAGCAAGGGAGAATTCCTTATAATTATGAAAGAGCTCAAAGAAACAAAGAATAAGATAAAATAGTGAGCAAGAGAGAGAAGAGGGTGGGGGGGGGGGGAGAGAGGGGGAGAACAAAAGAGGAAAAACAGAAAGAGAGAGGGGGCAGCAATCACAACGACAAAATGAATTGAATTTTGGCTTTTAAGTCACTGTTAAACAAATTATCGCTCAAATGTCTCCATAATGAATGTATGTGTAGACCCTACATAATCTTTTATTCACCATAAGAGTTGTGTGGCTTTAGTTATAGAGCTGGAGCCTGGAATCATGTTTACCTTATTACATTTTCAATTCTTGGACATATTAATTTTTTTGTGCTTCGAGAATAAGAAAATTTTATAGAAAACAGCATGAGTCAATGAGTAGAGGTTTTTCATCAGCTAATCTATTTGAGCTACAATAAATTTTTACATTAAAAAAAGGTGCTGAAAAGGTGACTCAAATTGGTTTGCTGTTGATGATGGCAAGTGACTGGAGGCTTGTGATAATTCATAACAAAATTTGAGCTGTAGGGGGAGAAGGGTAGAGGTAGGTTAGTTTACGACAATAACTCTGACCTATAAACTCCTTGGCTAGGTCAAGTTTCAGACATGGCTAGCCTGTACAAAATGAAAGAATTAATGAATCTACGACCCAGACGTAAGTGAACTAAAACAAGCATTCCATATAAGTTGATCACAGAGCCTACTCCTAGCTTGATCCGGTCAAATTATTTTTCTTGCTAAAAGCGAGTTGACTTGGTGACAGGAAGAATGCAAATACAACTAGCGACTTTCCGAAAGTAGACAGAAACCCCCTTGGACCAATGGTATGCTGGTGTATCTTAGTCTAAAAAAGTAGACCTTAAAATACTTTAATCGGAAGTTACAACTTTTTGTTCTTATCACAAGTTATTGTGAATAAATGTGATTGTGTTATATAATGAGAAATTAGTTACATCACAAAATAATTTCAGGAAGACTTTCCAATTGTGTTGTAAACATGAAGGAATAAAAGGCATGACTTTCTGTGAAGTTTCATTGAGTATAGCCTGGTAGACTATTATCACTTGTTTCAGTCTATAAAACACAGAGCAACCCACACACTGCTTTGTCTGTCAATTACTGCACTCCTCCCTCTGGAGGAAGTGTGGGAGCCAAAATTTGGGCAACAGGTGACGTATTGCCAAGCCTTAGGTGTCGGCCCTGACAAGGGAGTAAACACACTGAGCGGAAGAGCCAGAGAGGTGTGAGTGTGTGACTAGAAATGTGTGCATAAATAGGAGAGCTGAGCTACCGTTGGTCAACAGTTAGCTCTCAGCAGCCAACCAGATAACACCTGATCACCACAGAGAGAGAGAGAGAGAGAAAAGAAGAGAACTTGACTCCAGCCAGCCAAACTCAAGTGACCATTTCTAAACTTGTCATCAACAGAGCTTCTGCTATACTTATTTGGACAATATCCATTCTTACTTCAACCAGCCTTCATCTATCTGCAATATTTTCACACTTTTCATAGCTTGAATCAGGTGTATTTTCAGCAATTTTTAAAGCCATGGCTCATTTATCCTCATCAGTGTTTCTTGTGAGTGCTTTGATCATCTTCTTAGAGGTAGCGTACATCGTAACGGTGTCTGAAGCAAGTTGTGCCTCTTGCCCCATCACACATCCTCAACAGAAGTTCTGTAATGCGGAGTTTGGTGAGTTGATCTATTTTTATATCTTCCTTAATCTACAAATTCATAGCAAACATAACTAATTAATTTCAATGTCCCTTGTTGTGTCTAGCTGATAGTATATTACTTCTTTTATTAAGCTATTATTCCCACTGATTCTGATTTCTATGCTACCAATTTATAACTGTTCCACTGCAGTAAGAAGCAAATTCTTCAACAGATAATAATCTATTGCAATAATGATTCTTGTTTGTAAAAATTAGTGGCAAAATCATTTTTGAAAAAAATACATTCTTAATGTTTCTTTGAATAAGTGAATTACCTTAATTGGAAACAAGTTGAATTATATCACATAATAGTAATTAAAAGCTGTTATCTTGCTCTGGCAAAATATTTGGGATCTTTAATGAAGAAAAAAAGTGCAAATTCTCTTTTCCTTGCCTTCTTTTCATAATAGATTTATATCATGTGTATTAAATACTATAATGATTTTTTCCCTCTCATTTTACAGTTTACAAGGTGAGACCTATCTCATGGCAATATGTTGACATTGAGGGCAATCCTGTACTCTATGCATCACAAGCCTACGATGTCCAGTATAAAGTCAAAGTGGAGAACGTCTTTAAAGGGCAAGAAATTTTGGCAAAGGATGGGGCAATCATCTTTCTCCACTCGCCCAAGAACCTGTGCCTCATTGACAAGCTAGAGATGGGCATCAAATATCTCATCAGTGGTAAGTTCACAGATATCACTTTTTTATTAATTTAAATTGTTGTAAGGTCAACTGGATAAAAAATTTGTTGACATTGCCTTCAAAATTGCAGTATAATAAGTTCTGATACAGCAAATAGAAAGAACAAAAGATAATAGAAAATTCTGAAAAGGAACAAAAATGGGATAATGTTTACTTAGGAAATAAAAGAGTGTGACTTTTTCCTCGTAAAAGTAGACGTTGAAAGTATAGTATTAAGCATGATATAGACCGACATAACAGCTACATTCAAGTAATGCATTTCTTTAAATTCTGAAAAACAAAATTAAACATTGCCTGATTAAGTGATGACTTTGAAGAATTTAAATTTTCAAAATACTTAATTCTGCTATATAAGATGAGGAACAAATGAAATTCCACATTTCACAACATTGCCTATTGGCCTGACTTTTAAAACCGATGCAACAAAGAAATAGTATTTCATAAACATTCAAAATATTGTTTTCTTCTTTTCCTTTACAGCTGATATGCGAGGAGAGATTATACAAGTAACAGCTTGTGGAATTGTTCAAAAGTGGTCTGACCTCACCCCATCACAGAGGAGAGGAGTGAGAGGTTTCTACCAGTCACAGTGCTCCAGCTGTAAGGTAAGAGCACAACTTGTTTTCCTTCTTATTCTTAACAATTTACAGAGAGAGAGGGAGAGAGAGGGAGAGAGAATGAGAGAGAGAGAGAGAGAGAGAGAGAGGGGAGGGGGGGGGGGGGGGGGGAGGGAGAGAGCAAAAAGCAACCATAAAGAATACCTGTCAAAATTGCATGAATATAAAACATTTATTCTGCATACAGATATTGTTATTTAGGGAAATCTTATACAAAAATGAGAAATTATGCAACTTATTGGATGGGGAAGTTGATGCATTGGTGGAAACAGAGTAAGACACAGTTTTTTAAAAGTGTTCAAATTCCTAATCAATCATTTCAAAATTGTAGATTCCGATATTGCATAAAAGTTGTTTTTAGATTTTAGAATAAGCAATATAGTATAAATATGTAATTCACTTTTGGCCTTCGCTTCAACTATAATCATATACCTTTGTGAATAGCAATTGTAAAGTAAATACATATCTAATTAAATTGTTATGTTCTCTTTCTTGATTAGGTCTTTGGGTCAGCAGTCCAACGTTACTATGGAGGTGACGAGATCATTGACGAAATGAGCTCTGGACTGTGGAGCAAACGACAGTGCTTCTATAACCCTCTTGCTTCCGTAACTTATGGCAGCGAAGAGTGCGAGACCAAACATGCCTACTGTGTCCATCAAAAAGATGGTGTTTGTGGATGGGAGGGTGGAGAGGCCTACGAGCAATGCTTCCGCCAGAGAGAGTACAACTGGCAGCTGATGCAGTTCGCAGAGATCGGTCTTGCTGCCTGGACCTGCCCTGAGCAATGTAAGGACCTCACGCCTAGGAGACTCAAGTACAAGTGCAAGAAAGCCACTAGGAAGATGCCACCCTGCAACTCAAGAGACACTGTCAGAGAGTTTGAGCCTGAAGCTGCCTTGGAGGCTGTACGAACCGTTGATCCTAACACCATTGATGAGGTTCCTCCTACTGAATCACCAGAGATCTTAGCAGCGCTATCAGCCCTATTCGATTAGATATTGTCAAGGTTTTATTGGATGATGTATTCACTTTTTTATCAAGTGTGTGGCAACCATGGTCCTCTTTTCATTCTTAGAGTAGACTCATACACTGCAAGACTCTGGTCTATAATATTTAAGGATTTTTTAAAAACAATAATCAATATTATCTGAGAATTAAGTGGTCATTGGATTAAAAGGAAATGGTTCCAGTGATTGAGATATACCTGCAGGCAGAGATAAATATATCTTTATCACTGTAATATTTTTTGCTCAAATTTAATGATACATTTTAGTGAAAATTACCACCTTCAAAATTATGTATTTATAGTTCTATGATCTTATTTCACTTCATTCTATTTAATTTTTTTGGTTATTGTTTATGATATGAATTTATGTCAAATTATTGTTTGTTATACTGGACAATATAAAAATTTCTACCTCTGAACATTCACAAAGTATTCAGAAAATAAGTATTTATTACCAATCAAGGGCAATGTCATTGATTGCCCCAATCCTAGCAAAATATTTTTGAAGAAAAAAAAGAATATTATTTTAGACAGTTATCAGTATTCAATAATGTGAAAAACCAAGATTATGTTCACTGTTGTGAAGGAAATTGCTGCGAAACAGGGTCTTTGATTTTATGATTTGTAAATATTGGTTTTTACCTCAGTTCAAAACATGCTGCAATAAGTGCTAGAACTGAAAAAATTGAAACTTATATTATTTCAAAATAACCCAGGATAACTAGGTTGATTGTTATACTGTGTACATGATCATTACATAATTAAATTACTTGATATAGTTGTCATATATAGCATGTACAATGCATCCCTTCAAAATTTAAAAAAGATTGTGACGTTAAAGTCTATTTTGATGCAATTGCAAATACTAATGTTCTCCAAGAGTGCTACAAAAATAATATAAAATTCATAATGACTAACCAAGAAAAGTAAAACACAACTTTATATTTTACACAATTTCTTTTTGCTCCCAAGTCAGTGCTTCTACCCATTTCAAGTTTCATATACTTTGGTTTTTTTGTGTGCAGATTTTACATTCAAATTTCTCTTTCAACCTTCACTCACGGACAGGAAAATAGTCTTTCTCTCTATGCAAGAGTGTCTTATTTATTATTTCATTATCTCTTTCTGAATGTTGAATAATTTATTGAGCATGTATATGAATGTTTTCTCGATTGTATCTTTACAATCATGATGTCTTTACTTCACCATTTGGCAGCTGTGCAATCTTTTGTATGTAAAACTTTTGTTATTAAATATTCTATATACTCTTCATGTGAAGGAAATGAACTGTATGGCAGGCAATGTTTCTTGTAATTAAGGTGATGATGTAAGAGTGGAAAGAGCTGACAGAGACACAGAGAGTCAGAGAGGGGAGAGGAAGAAAAGGAGAGAGTGAGAGAATGTGAGAGAGGTTGATATGGAGAGAGAGAGAGAGAGAGAGAGAGAGAGAGAGAGAGAGGGACAGAGAGAGATAAAGAGTCCAAGAGAAATAGAGAGGTAGACAAAATATGAGAGAGAGAGAGAGAGAGAGAGAGAGAGGGACCATTTTTCCCCTCCTCAACATGCATGTAAATGTAGAGAGTAAGCTTGTTTCAAATGACAGCACTGACGAAGGAACGATAAGAATGATACGAAAACAGAACAATTCGTCCTTGTTTTCACGAAGTGACGGTAGCGAGGAAAATCGTAACGCAAAGTGAATGCAATTTTTTTTCACTACCGTCACTTCGTGAAAACAGCGACGAATTATGAAAGAGCATGTAAAGAAAAGCATGGGAAGAATAGAGGAGTTGAGAGAGGACATTTCTTTGAATCTGATAGAAATTAAATATGAACATTTGATCACTCTGTTGATCACAAAGCATAAATAATTGTGGTATCTTCATAAGTGATAAAAGGTGAAAGATCTCAATAATTATATAACATTTCAATAAGATAGAAATACCCAGATACCTGAACCTCCTCCAATAGGATTTATCAGCTTGCACTAACCAATGAGCTTGTGACCATTGGTCATCCCTTATAACTATTGACCAATCATGGCTCATAAGTAGTATTAGTATCAAGTGACCATGGTCATCCCTTATAACTATTGACCAATCATGGCTCATAAGTAGTATTAGTATCAAGTGACCATGGTCATCCCTTATAACTATTGACCAATCATGGCTCACAAGTAGTATTAGTATCAAGTGACCATGGTCATCCCTTATAACTATTGACCAATCATGGCTCACAAGTAGTATTAGTATGAAGTGACCATGGTCACCTATGATAACTATTGACCAATCAAGGCTCACAAGTAGTATTAGTATCAAGTGACCACGGTCACCTGTGATAACTATTGACCAATCATGGCTCACAAGTAGTATAAGTATCAAGTGACCATGGGCACTCCATCTGTGTCAGAATGTATCATGTAACACACTATGGATCTCAGCAGACTATATCACTCAAAGATCACAATTTGCTGTCATGAATCTTTGTGTTGTTGTTTCCCCAAAATCATTATTGTAATTATCAAACCTTTCAAACAATTCATCACTTTCCATGATGATGAACAAAATAAGAAATATTTATCGGGTTACCTTGGATATTTCCATGAAAAACTGTTATGGAATTGGTTACCATGCCAACTTTGTTATTACATTGGCGTAATCAATGGCGTAAAGCATTGTTTGTCAGGAAATCAGCTAATTGATTACTTGCAGAAAATACAAGAAAATCTAAATCTCTGTGAAACATGACTCAGTATACTGCACAGCAACTGTTATATGCAGTATCACTCACAGTATCACTCATCGGCTAAGAGAGAGAGAGAGAGAGAGAGAGAGAGAGAGAGAGAGAGAGAGAGAGAGAGAGAGAGAGAGAGGGAGAGAGAGAGAGAGAGAGAGGGGGGGGGGATGGATGGAGGGAGGACAGTGAGGGAGAGACATAACATTGGAGAGATAGGGAGAAAAACAGACAGTAATTTTGTTTTAAATAGAGATAGGATAGGAGATGGTGATAGAGATAAAGGTGGATGGATGGATACAGAGGTAGATGTCAGGGATATAAAAAGAATAGAGAAAGATAAAGTGGCGAGAGAGAGAGAGAGAGAGAGAAGAAGGGAATGAGGGATTGAGGGAGCAAGGGGAAGGGGAGAAGGGAGTGAGATAGGGAGGGGGAGAAGGGAGTGAGATAGGGAGGGGGAGAGTGCAATTTATAAATAATTCAATAGAGAAGAGCAGTGAATGTACGAGACAAAAGGGAAAAGGGGGGGGGGGAAGAGAATCTAGGGAAATACATTGAAAGGGACCCAGAGAATAGGAGAAGAGTACAGGAACAATCAAGAAAGTGGACAAAGGTGGGGAGTCAAAACTATTTCAGCAATAAAAGAGGAGTCTCAAGATCTCTCACCTAATTTAAGTTGTCATAATTTCTTAAATCAAATTAGACAGAGAACACAGAGCTAGCATTTCTTTGTGGGGAAAAAAGCCAGCCTTCGTTCCCCCCCCCCCCAGGGTCTAATTCGACCTATATACCACTTTCATTCCCTTTTAAATCTGAATAAAGATGGGAGAATTTTCAATTTGCATTAAGAAACGCTGTCAAGACACAATTTGTACCTCACAATAACTTTCAATTTCAGCCAATCAGAAAAAACTCCTTGTATGATAAATGAAAACATTATGCCATGTATTGATAGGGCATGTGACAATGAGGGCAAAAGTAGAAGAGAAGCATGGAAGAATGTATAAGTAAGCATTATGAAAGGGTATTATTAATATTAAAATCATTTTTTATTTGAATGGGGAGCAGATTAAGTACAGGTTGACTGTGATAATATCATCAGTATGAAATGGGTCTTTATCAATCATATTTAAACCCAGTGGTTGTCAACATCTTGTTAAAATGACCTGTAAATCTGCTATTAAAAAAAATGAAATCCTACAACAGTTATGCCCAAGCCAATAAACTACCCCTCAAATATTGGTGTACCTTGAAAAGTGGTACACAAACAAGTACTTAAAGCATCTTTTGTCCACTATTCTTAAACACTGTTACACAAGGATCCAAAGCTTGCCCTATAATAGCACCTAACAATAAGAGAACATTAAGCCCCACAATGCTCATTCAACACAATAGCAGTTACCCCAACACAATACTCACTTTACAATGCAGTAAAAGGGTATAGAAAGATTGTGAAGTGTTTACCGTCTTGCTTGGTTAATGCCTCCAATCCAGAGAGAAAGGAAAAGGAAAATATTTCTCCTATACTTCCGGTAGAGTTGAGAAGCTTTTCATTTCTTCTGGTACCTCGCTAGTGGTTGGAAATATTGCCAAGGTGAGTGTGTCAGCATCACTCTTTTACATTTTCTAAGATTCTTTTACACATTTTGCTCAAAAGAAATAGTAGGACATCGATCTTGACAATTGCAGGTAACAAATATGACTTTTTAGGTGATGTTTTGACTATTTGGAGCCAGAAAGACGTTCACTCAGTCAATATGCCATATGACTCTGAACAGATAATTTCTCCAGTATGGCACAGATCACAATTTCCAGAGAAATCTGAGTTAATGTTTTGGCACATAAGTTCTGATGGCATCCTTATTCCTGTATATTAAGGGAATGCCACGTCTTCATGATGGGATTTTACATTCTGTAGGCCACAAGAAGACCTAACGTTTCAAATGTTTACAAGTTTACATTAAAACAAAAAAAATGGGATGCTTCGTAATTTCTTCAAAATTTTAGGTAATACGTAAGGAGGCCACAAGGCCTATAAAAATATTCATCAGCGAATTTCAAAATTGTAAAATAATTTGTGTACCCTTGTCTGCAAACCTGTGTTTCTCTGTAAGGCACCCATTTCCTTTTTGGAAAGCTGAACTTTTGTCACTCATAATAAAGCAAATCTAGTAGATGATCCTTCTCGCTTCCTATCCAAAATAGTATAGTAATGCTTTGTGCTATCAATATCATTTTGATATCATAGTCTTGTCTTTATATCACAGCAATTGATGATTTTATTTTGTTAACGATACAAAGAGTTGGAAAAATATTGACATAAAGATAAAGTGCAATTAGCGGTAGGCTCCTATTATCCGAGACAGATCTAGAAGGTTAAGACTTGGAAGGCTAAAGTCCAATCAATTCTGGTTTTATGCTCCAGACTAGGATTACTTGAAGAGGAAATTATTCAAACATTAAAAACATAAATCAAGTATATTTGTAGTTCTTTGGCAACCATGCAAGGAATGCAAGCTTTTCAGCTACATGTGGATCAACATACACCGGCAGCAAATATTGTTCATTTTTAGAGAGACAGAGCATAGAGTTGGGGATGGAAAATTAACTGAAAGGATTTATGCTATTCATTTGTAAGTAGCACATGCATGAAGGATTGCTTCGTGTCATTAGCCTTGAACCAAAGGATCAACCTTCAACAAGCCTTCTGCCGGAGTCCCAGACAATATTCCAATTTGTTTGTAGCAGGTATTAAATACTATCATATTAGTATCAATACATCTATTTTGAGCTGTCTTTTGTTACGACTTACATGATAGATTGCAACTGTTACTAACAGCTTCAAAGGATGAAGGTTTTATAGCCCCGATTTTCTGTTATTAACGGGCTTCAAAGGATGAAAGATTTATAGCCGCGATCTTCTGTTATTACACGGATGATGTAGTACTCTTATACCGGTGGGAGCTGTTCATTCAGGTAGCACCAGGTCTCGATAATTAGCTGAAAACGTGCTGGGGCTCAATAACCACTCATATCATTGATATATCTCTCTCCATATCAAATTGCTCATTTGTTGCTTTAAATAGAAACGCCTTACCTGGTTTTTGCCATATTCCCTCATCTTGATACACATTGTCACATCTACTCAGCACCATGGCGATAAGAGTTGTAGGTCCACTACTTGTGACCCTCGTGATCCTGGGCTACTTCCAGACATCGATGGCCTCCTCAGGTATCAAGTGCAGCCATACCTGTTTATCACTGCATCCTCAACAACGCTTCTGTGATGACGATGTAGGTGAGTTTCAAAAAATGTTTAGTTCTTGTAAAGTTGAAAAGTGACTTGTGATCTCTCTCATTTTATGTACATCAGATTGGAAGGATATCATACCAGTCTGACTTGTTCTTACTTCACCAGGAGTATTGAGATGTATCAGTTCAGATTCAGATTCAGCTCATCGTAGAAGTGACCCCTGGAAAGGGGTGTTCTTCAAATAGTCATATATTCCAAATCTAAGAACTTGCTGAAAAGATTTGACCAAACTTCATT